CACACACACATATATAAACTCTGGTTGATGTACTGTATGTACATGCACACACACACACACATATATATGCACACATAAATAAATAGTGTATATATATATATATGTATGTATGTGTGTGTGTGTGTGTGTGTGTATGTGTATGTATCTACACATAAATAAATAGTATATCCATTTGTCATAATGGCATGTTCCCAGGATGGTGAGATATTGCAGAGTTGAGCTCCTGTTGGGTAGGATAGCATCCTTCTAATGATGTATCCTGGGTTACTTTGCTTTTTTCATGATGCACCAAACCAAAAGCTACACACATGCATCAAAGCCTTCTTTGGATGTAGTCAGAAGGTGGCTATGTGAAAAGTTTAGTATTGGTCCAAGTGCAGGTGGGGGGCATCAGGCACAAGGAAAGATCTTTTTGCCTACCCTCTCCTTTATTTTTAGTTCTTTGTGCACCCCTCAAAAGTGGAGGTTTGCAAGCTGCCTGGGTACTTAATGGGCAGTGAAGCAGCCGGGATCCATCAAAATGATGAAAGAGTTAACCCAGGGGAAAAGGGTCACAGGAGCAGAAGGAGCTGCCAGCAACATCAGGAGGTGGAGCGTTGTGTGAACCTATGTGTGTGTATATATGTATATATGTATGTATGAGGATGCGCTCACTTCTTGCAGCTTGGCAAAGTTGCTGGGATAGAGGTAACAAAACAGAACAACTGGCATCCAGGTTGATATCACTTGGGCACAAAACATTGGAACTAAAAATATAAGATGGATTGGCAATTGAAAGCATGTTTTTTTTTAAATAGCAGAACTACCGGTACTCCTGAGAAGTGATAAAACCAGACTGGAAGACTTTTAAATCACTGATGGGTTTGAAATAATCTCCCATGACAAATGTCGGTGTTCCACCTCTCACATCCTTGTGCTACTTTTGATCATCAGGACAGAAGTGAAAAAAACGTGTCCAGAACATTAAAAAGTATCAGAACGGAAGGGTTTTTTTTTGGGGGGGGGTAAACGAAGCTTTAAACAGGATTAAATGGCTTGTGTAACTGCGGAATGATGCTTAAAGGACTGGTGAAGCTAATACTATAGCTGGCCAAAAAAAACTAAAGTAAAAATAATTGTAACAAGAAAATGAAAGCTTTACAAGGACTTCAGTAATGAACACATAATAATTGATTATATGAGGCAGTAATTATTTTCGTATTTACACCATTAACGATAGTAATTTAATGTTAATGCCTTGGTATTTTATTCCTTCTCATTTGCAGACAAAAGCACATCTGAGACATCATCAGGGAGTAATTTGATAATCTAAAGTCATGAATAGAAAACACTAAACTATGCTCACAAGTCTGACAACATAAAGCAGGAATCAAAATAACCTCATTTGATGTTTATTATGTGTCTTTTATCATTCTGTTTACCATCGTTTGCATAAATGCATAGCAAAATTGTGTACTAAACCCATTTCTGTGGGTAAAAGAAACTTTGATGCTCACGGATTTGTTCTTAGACTAATAAACACATCCTTGGAAAGCCAGTCAAAAACACTATTTTTAGATTAGGTTGAACATTTTTTTTTTATGGAAGAGAACAGCTAGAATACAAATTTGGTCTTCCAAAGAGCATCTATGAAGCCAATTTGAATCAGGTTCTGACTGAGATGAAATCAGGAACTACACATAGGACATTATCACATGGGGCCTAAAGCAGTCCCATCCCCGTCGCATCCCCGTCCCATTGCGGTTCCTTTTCAATCCAGAACTTACCGGCAAAAAGAAAGCAGCATCATTCCGATATCATTCTGGTCGCGGCAGAAATGTAATTCCCAAAGAATCCGGCATTCAAAAGAACAGGGATGATGCCGGATGATGCCGCAATGGGACGGGGATGGGTGCGACGTCATGTGAAGACACGGGGAAAAGAACCGCAATGGGACGGGGATGGGCGGGGTTTCTCTGCGACGCCGTGTGAACACAGGGAAAAAGGAAGCGGAATGGGACGGGGATGCGACGGGGATGGCACTGCTTTAGACCCTGTGTGATAATGTCCATACTTTTGCCATTTTTCTGTGCACTTTGCAAAAGGTAAATTGAGTTTTATTACTCAAAGTGTGTACCTATTCTCTTCTTTTTCGTTATTGATCTTACACACTTTAATACTTTTAGGTGTAGGTGAGATGTATGAAATAGCAGTGGCTTTTAAACTTTTTTCTGCTGGGTAATTATTTGAAATTAAGGATAGTGGGTACACATTATTTTTATGAATAACAGAAATGGGAAGCTATAATTATATATGCTAAAAGTACCAATTATCTGTTCTTATGTATAATGAGACTGTAACTTATGTTGGCTGATGTTGATTTTAGTGAGCTATAAGGGGCCTAAATATAAACCTGTCTCTGTTTCATCAATATTATATCTTTCTCCTCATACCAAACGTAACATTTACCCACAGCTAAAGTTGGTGTAATAGTACTTTTTTGTGTTTGTGTTTTAGAATACCATCAGTTAATGCAAAGATGCAGTCCTTCCAGTTTCACAAAGCTGTGTTTCAGGAAGAAAGCCTATAACTTCGAGTTAGAATCAGATTGAAAAACATAGCACTCTAAGTGCATGTGAGTACTTAGATGTGTATGAAGAGAAAAGTAGTCCCACCTACCTATGCTCAGAATTTGCAGATAACACATGACAAGTAATAACACAATCTGTTAAAATGTTATTGGACTACTGGTGGTAATGAGAGAACAATGTAAGTCCTTTTGTAAAATAATACGCAGGTCAGAAGTCAAGTAGGAACAGCTGCATGCATAAGTGTCCC